GTCTCCCTGCGCTCAGAGGACAGCGGAGGCGCCGGACCCGTCTCCACCAACTCCCGGCGCAGCGGGAGGAGGCGCCCCCACTCCCCGGTGCCCCCAACTTCTGGGGGGGGGTGGGAGGGGGGAGGTGCTCCCACACGCCTCTCTGCTATCTCGGAGCGGAGCAGGGAGCCCTCCCATCCTGCAGCACCCCTACTCAGAGGACAGCGAGGACGCCCTCCTGTCCCCTACGTGCGGCGCTGGAGGGGGGTTCCTAGCCCACCCGCCTTCGTGGGTACGGGTTTCCCACCCTCTTCTTCATCGCAGCGCGGCGGAAGTGGGGCTCCCACGCTCCTCACTATCACAGAGGGCAGGGGGACATCCCTGGGGCGGGGGGAGGCGGAAAGGTCCCCCTGGGGCCGGTGGAGTCCGCCTAGCAGAGAGCAGCCCCAAATGCGCAATGGAGGCGGGAGGGTGTGATTGAACTCTGTGCCCCTGCCAGGTCCTCCGGGGCGGGGGGCGGGGAGCTACACTTGCGTCCTGCGCTTGCCGCTGAAGTCACACTTTGGAGGCGCCTAGCGAGTCGAGGCGTTCGGCGCCGGAAGCTCAGGGCCGCCCTCGGGCCTGTTACCTTCCCGCGGAGCCCCGTCTGTCTGGAGGCGCTGTCAGCAAGCGCTCACCAGGGGCGCGTGGCTGGGCATCTGGGCATCGGGGCGGGAAGAGTGGGCTCTGGGATCCGCACCACCGCGCCACCACGGGGGCTGGGGGCGGCGTCCCCTCCCAACAAGCCTGGGAGTCAACCCGCTGGCCCTTGCCCTGGGGGAAAGGGGGTCTCATGGTTGCTCTCCGATGGACCCCACCCTTCTGGAGGTTCCCTCCAATTGGAGTGTTGTCTGCCCAAACACCTGCAAATCCCACCTGCTCCCCAAGCCCAAGGAATCCGAGGCACAGCTGACCCCCCTCATTCACCAGCAAACAGCCCAGGGAAGTGGTTCCCGGGCAGGCGCTGTTCTCTCAGTGGACAGCCAGCGCTCTGGACTGAGTTCTGGCAACACCTAGCCCCTAGGAAGCCTTCCCGATGACTGCCCTGCTGCCAGCCCGGGCTGTCCTGTGCCCCTCCTGGACAGGGACATGTGAGCTGGGCAGCTGAGCGCCAATGACCAGGACCCAGGCCACGCAGGAAGAGGGGACCACGAACCTTCCAGGGGGTTATTTTTAGCAGCAGTTAATGTCTGTTCTGCCCAGGGGGTATGGCCAGAGAAAGGTACAGCCCTGCCGCGGGCTGCTGAAGATCACGGCTGCGGTGGAGGTGCAGAGCAGGGAGAGGGAGAAGGGGGCTGGGCTCCGGGACACGTCTGGACACTGGATCCTTGGCCCAGGGTCCTGCCCCACCAGGCTCCACCTGGTCCCAGGCCTTCCCTCCGGCCCCAGACCTGGAGAGAGAAACGGGAGGAGGCAGTGGGTGGGAGAAGGTCCCTCCAATGTCTCCTGTTGCTCTCACAGCCTGTATCTAACTGCCCTGGCAAGAGAACGAAACTGCCTGTGAGCTAGTGGCTGCAGCCCCCACTTTCCCTGCCTGCCTTTCCTCTCCTAGCACTCTGACTGGGAATGTAACCAGGTAATTCCATTCTCAGCCTTTCCTGCTGGTTCAGATCCAACCATCAGGCATGCTTCTTTCTTTTGGACCAGGGGATTCTCGGGTTTGGGTGGTTCTGAAATAAGCGGCAAAGGCAGCCTGGATGAATCACTTAAAAACATCCAGAGCCTGATCTCGCCTAAGGAGATATGGCTGAGTGGGGCATTTGCCACCATTTCTGCTGTGTGGCTGCTTTTCATTTCCCCAGCTCTGCCCAAGGTCTTTCAGAGTTTTGTAAACCAAAATTAATTTTAGACCGTAATAAAGGATTTTTAAAAAGCACTTATTTGAGCAAAAAGAGATGCAGTCTGGGGAGACTGATTCAAGTAGCAACCTAAATTATGTTACCGGAAGGCAAAGGGGAGACTGACTTTTATAGCAAAAGTTCCCACCCAGGTTTCCAATTAGGCCCACTTTATGTAAATGAGGTCTCCAAATCTGTAGATGTCTGATGTGTCTGATTATTATTTATAAAATATGGGCCCTCGGTTGACCAGAGGGATTCCATCTCAGCAGATAAGTTCTTTCTGGGGGTTCACATCACATGAATCTTCCTTCTCGGGGTCCACCATGTGGGCAGAGCTGCACATTTCCAGTCTTCTTCTGTGGGAACAACATACGCATTATTCATTTTCTCTCCAATTCTTGCTGCTTCCTCAGCCCTAGAACTGATAAATGTCTGCCTTCACCCACTCAAGAAGGAAAAAAAGTAAATAATCTGTAACTTAGGTTCCTGGAAAAAAAAAGAACTGAAAGGCTTGTGAGGGAAAAGAGAAGGTTTAATAAATTATTTTCTCTTGTGTTCTGGTGGAGAGACTGGACATTTTTAACAACCACGTGTATATGCTCCAAATGGTAAAGGGGGCTGTTGTAAAACTTTTAGGAGACTTTGGTGGATGGGAGGGCAAACTAATTTAGAGAGACTCTGCTCAGAGGGGATTTTGCACTTGACCCTAATGACGGTTTTTATTACTCATTTTTTCATTAATTCATTTAACAAATATTTTGTGCCTAACATGTGCCTGATATTCAGGAAAAAAAAAACAAAAAACAAAAACTGACCTGCAGCCCTTGTAGGAATTTCCGATGTAGTACTTTGAAAAGTACTAAAAACCAAACAAACAAAAATCAACAGTCATCCCAGCTCTCCTGTACAGTTTTAATTTCATCATCATGGACAAAGGTGGTAGAAGGAATAAAATATAAAAGTCAAGGAGATGCCAGCCTTCCCTAAGCCTTTGTTAGGTTTTTCTTTTGTTTTAGTTCAGGGATT